AAATTTTTATCCTCGGCATTGGATGGAAGTGGGTGGCCATCGTAAATCTTTTGCTGCCTTTACGCCATAAAATGGAGCCCAGTACCAATGGCATCCGCACTAAAAATGCAATTACTCCATACACGGAAAGAACCTCATTTAGTTTCTCTACTTTGTTTCGAGAGTATGGATTTTCCCGGTTTCCCTGAAGGCAAATACTGGGACACTACTTAAGAAAAGTCACTGATGCCTCTTGGTACATTTCCCGTATCTTTCCCACCCATCATTTACAACCAAGTCGCTACGTGGCGCTAAACTACTCAGTTAAAAAAAAATAATTGCTAACCAAACTAAGCAACATACAAATATTTATCAAATTCAAACATGGGACTTACGTGAAAAAGCATTCAGGTACCATGTATACGTGTCATCAACTTTAATTCATTTCAAGGGCAACGTTGCCTACGGACCTAAACACACGCAGCCTTCAGTACCACAGTACGCACATGGCGTAAGAGCCCGATGCAGATCCAGTTCCACGCAGTCGGTATCCGATCGAAAGCGCATAAAAGTGAATTACTTACACCACATTAGCGTAATGACATTTACAAAACACCAAACAATCGTTCGAATCAACTCTCAGTAGTTCGACGATAATGGCTAACAAAACGCAGTTTATGTAAAGAAGCTGTCACCAGCTTAGCCTATTCTGTGTCGAATGATAGGGCAATTAATGAATTTGAAAGGATATGAAAGGAAGCGACCGTGGCCTAATTTAAGACTGGCCTACTACGATGGAATTTATCTGGAGGGACTGTGGAAAAACAATAAAAACAGCCCTCAGAGATGTGAACCCCCGGACCTTTCCAACAAATGACGAAAAATTAAAGTCCAAAATGGCAGTTGCTACGAAGTTCATCTTCACCGGCATAAGTCGGCCCAGTTCCGAGTGGGCGTCACGCAACTTGCAAAGTTACCGTCATTATGACGTCACCTCACGTCATCGTTATAAAGGGACGCTGGCTAAATATTGTTTCAATCACATTGAAACAGGTTCTGCATCATGTAAAAAATATCAGCACGAAAACAAGTTCTGCACACCACATATTTACGATCCCGAGCGGAAATAATCGTTATTCATTTCGACTGCTGTTTCGGTAAATTTGCCGTTTGATTATTTCAACAGCATTCGATCAGTCGTGATCCATAATCGTTCCACCCACAATCTTCATAAGCGTGGCACCTGCCTCAGTCTTTGCTGATCTACTTCAGACGTCAAAGAAAATGGTCTCCTTGTGTGGCATGGTTGCTACAATTAAAAACTATTCAGGATATTTTGATATGAGATTATCACAGCGGTCAGGATGTCAATGTTGGTCTTCTGGGCTGTAACGCTGTGTGGACTTGTTTCGAAAGACTGTATCTTGAGGCCCTGAAGTCACTTAATTCATACTATACCACGTGATCTTTACAGCTTCTGATAAATGCACCGTAAGTGTCATACACAGGTAGCGCCCGTGTACAATTTTATCTCTTTACAGATTAAGGTAAATACACAATGTTTCGTAGGCTCGTTCCAAAGATCCAAATCCAACGTTGGTGGCAAATACAACAATCACAAAATCAATGATCATAAATTGCAGTATGTTGACAGAGTTTTAAGTTCATGAGTGTTTCGCTGACGGGTCTTGTGGCTGACCTTACCACATCTCTCAACTTTTCAATAAATTAATTGCCGTAATTAATCATCTCAGGTCCTTAGCAACTGGTCGGCCAACAGTCTACAGGAGGCACGTCGAACTCGGTGTCTGCTAACGACCTCTTGAAAATATATTACTACTATTTGCCACGTTTAACAAAGGCCAGTTGAATCCGCCCCATACCTTCTTGTCCTATTTAATATAGATTACGTTTTAATATTATCCTCCCAGCTACGCCTAGGCCTCTAAAGCAGCATCTTCATTTCAGGTTTTCCTAACAAAAATTTATATGCATTTTCCACCTCCCTTTGTGCTACATGTTCCACTCATCTATACATTTATAAATACTATCTAACTGTTCTGGTGTAATTTTACTTAAAAAAGGACGATAAATTCAGTGAAAATGTTTATGCCCCAGGCACGATATCAACAGAGAACGAGACCTTCACTACAAACGGAATGACCCCAATTTATTTTATAATTTGTCATCGGAACAGAAAATATGTACGTTCCATATGACGGAGCAGAGAACACCCACGAAAGCAAAACATTTTCTGTCTACGGTTCCTGTAGGTTCCTCGGGCGAAACTAGACGTACAGTTCGTATTTTTCCTCTTGTACGTCTAAAATGCCCTTTCACTATGGCCGTCATGGATTTCAAAACAAAACGGGTGAAGTTGGCTAAAATAATAGACGTAATTGAATTAAGTCCGTCACGTCTGGCTGATGATACTAATTAGAATGTCTTCCCACCAACCCATTCCAAACATTCTCAGACTTCAAGCTGACGGAGGAGTTTTAAAGTTTTCGACGCCGTGATTGAAACCCCCCCCCCCCAACTTCTGAATATGAAAGCTACAGATTCATCCTAAAAGTTCACAACTAACTTTAATGGCATAATGGAGTCAGAGACTACAGTCCAAATTCTCTCTAAAATACAAACGTAAATTCAATGTGCAGTAATTATAAATAATCACGAAATATATTTTACACGCCCTTCGGGATGTAATCTGAACGTACGCCTACGTGCAGTCTCGCATCGAGGCTACAGAAATCGATATGAAGCGTGCAGGTTGCGATAGGCCACGTGTTGGCTAGACCAAGTTCCAGCCCAGGCAAGCTACTACCTATATAATGTTACGAGGAGTGGAAACACATTTTCCAAGCACGTTCTTAGAAAATTTTTCATTCCTTTGTGGTCTTACATCTCAACCAACTTGTGCTGAATTCTTGGGGCAAAAAATGAGCACCAGGCATTTGTAACACGCGGCAGCATACAAAATTACGCTGTTCATAAAACATAATTGCATTTCACTTGTATTTCATTAAAAATTTCACGCTAAAACACGCGAGTCAGAACATTTTTAAAGATAAATGGTTTTTAATATGAATATGATATTAACACTTATCATTCGTTTTCGTATTTATTCTGTGTTGCACTTTCGTGGCAGAAATAAAAGCTAAAAACTGTTAATATATTCAGATATATTTTGCGCACATCGCACACTGATGGGTAACAACAATTGCATACCGTATTAATATAAATACAGAATGTTTCAAAATAAAGCTGTAATATCTATGGTTATTTTTTGGCGATGAACTGCCTCTGCAAAAACTGATACATTTCAATTTGAGTTTCAGATAAACAGGATATTATATATATTTTAGCGAAAACAAATTTCCCTGACAACTTCTGATGCAACCAGCCAATCTGTCTCATTTTTAAAGATCTATTTTGTATAGGATTTGAGGTTTTCACGGCGGTGAGTTTGAAGATGGCCGTCTTTTGGGTCGTTGGGCCTGATGACGGAGGCAGTATGACCTCTGAAACGTTGGTAAACATCGACCAGACTACACGGCGCAACAACCCAGAAGACAGAAATCTTCAAGATCCATCCTAATAATTACTGCATGGTTTCTTTTTTCCTTCCAGACGTCGAAAGAATAGTCAACTTGGCTCACCCACACCCATTTACCATTTTTATCGTTACGCGCTACGTAATCTCTGAAGATACAAAACAGTCACAAGTGTTCAAAACAAACACTGAAGGAGGTAAGTTAGTTCGGGTGATGCGACCGCATGCCGACGTCGGCGTGACGAGCAGAAACTAAACAACGGTTCCAGTGTTCTTTATCTGCCCAGTTGAAATACCGGTTTCCGATTAGACAAACTTTCGTCCTACAAGCTGCAAAACATGCACACAAAGTCCGGCTCAAGCCTTGTTATAACGGCAATAATCCTGTTTTCATTTCGAAGCTACTGGATTCATTTCACAAGCTGTTCAGCGAAGTCTGTACGCTACCTATCAACCATATTTATAATCCTTCAGCATTTTTAAAATAAAAATTCCGGAACACGTGCTTTCCACTGAAGGTTCACATTCAGGAAAATAATAAAATCTTACTTTGTAATGATTATAAAATAGCTAACGGAATCATTCAATGTTGAGAACTATTACTTCGTGGTAACTCAGTCCATGTTAGCAACAACCCGAGAAAAATGAAACTCAGGCCATAATTTAAAATACGTTACACCAGGTAAGTTGCCGTGAAATTGACTACAAGTTGTAAGCTTCTTTTATTCATCACTGCGTTTATACTAATACGCAATTAAAGAAATAAAGGAAAATAAGATTAAAATATGCAGTTAAAACTTATCAGTGGCGCTAAAGCCCCAATGAAAGCCCTGAACACTTCATTGTACCCAAAATATGTAACAGCTTCATAATGGACCTTTCAAATTTATCATCCTTTTGTATCAACTGACTTCAGACAATTTGTGACGTTGCAATAGCGTCGCTAAATAACCAAAGAACAAACATATAAACACTGCCTATAAGAACACAAAGGGTTTATTGCACGACGCCATGTTTGCCCTCGAGGTCGTCAAACATCGTATTCAGACGTAAAGAAGCCTTAAGTTCGCTCTTAGTAACCTCCATTGCACTCATATGGTTTCATTTATATCAATTCGCTTGTTGGGCATAGTTGGAAACAATCGCTCAAGCTTTCTTCTATTTTCAAATCCCAATGCCCAATAACGAAAATGTAAACTTCACAACATGCCCAGACTACAAACGACACAAGGACCTGTATATACAAACAAAGATGCTTCTCCACATAAAAGCACTTTCAATGTAAAGGACAATACGAAACCTCAGCATTCTGTACAAATGAGTTGTCAGCTTCAAGTTCCGACCGCTTTACCTTTACAGACATTGGGCCACTTTCACGCTTTCTTAAAAACTCGTAATGACAAACTTATCCTAGAAAGAATGGATCACAACGCACCAATTATAAAATTGAATTACACCATTTTACCTCTATATTAACATCAAGTAATGAACCGTCTAGCAGAGTCACTCTGGCAAGGACCAACTTTCCTTTGCTGACTGGCGTCTTCTTCTTGGAAGGTGATGGAGAACTAGCAGGACCATTTTCCACCCCTTCAGGGTCCGCAACAGTGGACACCTTGGTTTCTTCCGGCATAGTGGCCCCCTAGTACCTACAAACAAGGATTAATTAACGGTTAACCCATTGGCAAATTACAGTTTTTCATACGAAAATCACAGAATAGAACAAAAGACACATTCATGAACCAGTCCACAAACATCTCCTGTTGTAGGCCAACATGTGACCATAAGAAGCAAGTTCCTTCTTGTGAAGGCGAGAGTCGTGAAGCTAGTGCGGGAAATCCGCGCATTTTATGGATTCCGTAAGAATATTACCGTGTTCGTAACAGCCAGGGTAACGTCTTCCAATCCCACAGTTTAAATGCAATGCCGTGAAAATCTAACAACGATACTTCATTGGTTCATGTTTTCTTTTTATAGAAGACACATCAAGATCCCCTATTACGTCGTCGATTTTGATTAAGGTTACGAACTACATGCATGCCTGTCTACAACAATGCAATAAATTCGAAAGATTTAACAATGATCACGGGACGATCAGATAAGTTTCGGCTCTGCTGAGCTATCTACAGCGTATTTTCCAATATACGTACACATTCTAGTCTATTATGTTTTAAATCTGTAAAACAATACTTTTTACGTCCTTCATCTTCAAAGAAGGCTTATTATTGCACCACATTAAAGAAAACACACAGTAACAATTTTATGAACAGGCTGGTTTATTTTGTAAACACGATTCAACAGCAGTATTTGACTGTAATTAAAGGCGCGAGTATTTAATTTTTTAAATATTTTAAATATAAATAGCTTTTAACGAAACATATTCACGCATTCAGTTTTAAATAGTGACTCTGTTCAAATATTTATGAAATGTATACGTTACAATTCAAAACCCACTAAATATGGCCAAACAGAGAAGACACGGGCCAACAAAATTACAATTCTGTCGGAATTCAATGCAATATTAAACACAGCAAGCACCACGTAATTCAAGTTACGAACGCTCAAGGTTCTCAGCTGCCACATCCCGATTTACATTCCAAACACTGACAACCAAAACTGAACACGAACGAACTAACCTTAATCAAAGAGGCCTTTAACACAAAATTTGCTCTACCAATTTGAAACGGCCTGGAAAGCCATAGACTTATCACCGCGCTCTGGTACGAGACGGACGGAAGGTTATTTTGAGAATGTTGCACAGACCATGAGTTTATAGGCCACGGGTCATCGCATATGCAGAAGCCAACTTTGATGTCTTCAAAACGGCAAAACGTCCACGCTAAATCCAAGTTCCAAAACTCAAAGTACGTGCCTAATCTCAAATGTAAAATCCGATAAAAATGCTTTTTCGTATTATTCCCATGTACCATGATTATAATGGCTGCTGTATCATTAAAGTTTGCACGTCGCTGATAATGTAAATCGTTAAAACTTATCTCAAGAACATAATTTCACGTCATCTTATGGTTTATAACGTATAGTAAAACTTACCTGATGCCATCTCGAGCCTGAATATAACGACGGATCAATGAACTCAAAGCGTGAAGTTAATTATCTATCATTACCAGGTGTTTATGAAGTCGGTCAAACTCAAAGTTGTTTCATTAGCACTACACTGCAAATATGAATCACAATTTGAGAGTTACCCGGTAAAATTATTCTTGCACAGAGCTAATGAACCTGTAGTTTTCGTTTATTTTTCAAATCCCTCACCAAGCACTCGCTTTTATAATTATCGTAATAATAGGATTACAAACAAAAAAGTGATACTTTGCACAATTTTTTGTCGTCGTTTTTACTCTCTGTGGCGTATAATCAATCACCTTAAATGAAAAACTAAAGCTGAAAATGCCTAAATAAGAAATATTTGCGGACCCTACTCCCCCCAAATTCATAGCTCAGTCAGTATAGTGACTAGCTACGGGCTGGACCGGGGTTCGATCCCCGATGGGGGCAGAGGATTTTTCCTCTAGCCTCTGCGTCCAGACCGGCTCTGGGGCCCACCAAGCCTCCTCTATAATGGGTACCTCCATCTAGTGCCGAGGTCAAGGAAGAGAGGAGCTATACCTCCACTCCCCCCAAGCGCCTACATGGCGTATAGTGGGACAAAGTTTACTTTTACTCCCCCCAAAATCACAATAAATAATAAAGCAAAGTGTACTGAATGGCCAACATGTTTCCAGGAATGACTTCTGTCATTTGTTTCAGTTACACTGTCAGTACAAGCGGAAATATCGAGTGAAGTTTAATTGGGTAAATGCGTGGGTCTTGACTACTCCAACACTGCGATCGTGGGTTATAATTCCACTCGAGGCATAGATGTGTGTGCCCGCGTTTTCGTGTTGCGCTGTCCAGAGTTGTCAGAGGCCTTGCAACATCCTACCAAATGTCTAGGATTCACATTTCAGAATTATTATGAATTTAAACAGGCCACAGGGTCTACTCCTTTTGAATGGCGTGAGGAACATCGTTCTGATCACAAGTTTTAAGAACGAACGCGAAGTTTTGATACACGCCGTGTTGATTCTTACTTCACAAATGCACGTAAAAACATACGTGCACAGTTAAATTCGGCAAACAATTGGCTATTCATCAAGGAAATAACGAAATTTATGTCATGAGGACGGTAATGTTTTAACAGTCGATAAAGCAGGACGTGCTTTGTGATCTGAATGTTTCAGTACGACATTCTAGTCTTTACAAAAGACAAAGATGTCTCATGCGACTTTAACGGTACTTCATTTCTGTAATTTTCTAAATCCATCCGACTAAAAGACGGCTGAACACAACAACGTTATAAAACATCTAACACACGGAGCTACGGAAATGTATGCCTACACGCGAAACAATAAATTAGACCCGTACTAGTGGCAACTTGCATTCAATGTCGTTTTTCCGGACGTCTGTGAATTTTAACCACAATATTTTCCGCGAAATGGACTGGTTGGCATAAAGTGTAACAAAATACTGTCGCGGTAGAAGACAAAAAAACATTTACAGACTATTAGCATCATCAGTAGACGTATAGGCGTAGTTCAGTCACTATACAGTGGCAGACTACAGACTGGACGACCGGGGTTCGATCCCGACAGAGGCATAGGATTCTTTTCTCTCTAGCTCTGGGGTTCCACCCAGCCTCCTGTCCAATGGGTGCCGGAGTAGGAGCTATAAACTCCCACACGGCGTGCAGCGGGGCAGTTTTGCTTTTACTTAGGAGGCCTACATTTCTTTTAAACCCGTGAAACCGTCTTAATGACTCCCGTCAACATTCCGAAATGTCACACCTAACAGCTACAGCATTTATCCCACTTTCCCCGAATTAGGGTTCGTATACTTAACACCGGCTGTGGTCTTAGAATGTATGGAAATCGGCAATACTATACTCGCATATTACCGAACTACATACCTTGAATAATGTGCCACTGGTACGCACGCAACATTTGCTTCTCCACAAACTATTTGCCTTCAGGTATACTTTGTAGAAAAATGTCTTACAGTCTTAGAAAAGAGTACATTTAGTGAATACTTCATGCCGTGACGACTGTGGGCGTACTGGCAATTCGAAATTCTAGTACAGCTGTGTGGTATTGCAGCGTGCTACATGGTGTCGAGAACTCATTAAGTATTCGTAGAAAACCGGTCAAGTGAACCCAAAACTGGATCGCGGCTGAATGTACTTTCTACTCGTACACTTGATTCTACTGCAAAAGCACGGTTTCGAAATGCGTGCGTTCTGTGTTCGGAGTTTCACCTCTAAATCGTAAGTTACATGGATATCGCATACAATTAAGAATAACAGAAAAAAGAAACCGGCCGCAAAATCTTTGATAGCAGAACCAGAAGGTTCAACGCCGCTATACAAAAGCCCGTCAATGGGGACAATTCAGAGCCAG